TAGCGCTGATCAGTGTCTCACTGCGCGCCACAGCGGCCATTGGCAGAGCATCAGCGGGCCGCATCAGGAGCATCAAAGAGCGCGTGCACGCGGCGGAGCGATAGACCAGAACAAAGCACACGCAAACACAACAGCAGCAAACTCTTGCGCACTCCCTTGATACCAGACGATGGGATCGGCTTTACTGTAGGATCCAGGCCCTTTGAGTGCAAAAGAGGATGATGAGACCTGAAGCAAGCGTGGAGTGGGAAATTTCGAGATCAGAGGGGCTACAAGCGATGTTCCGGAACATGCGGACTTTTCTGATGCCTCCGCGGCCGTGCTGTGGCCCGCCTGCCCGCGTCCGCCGCCTCGACAGCCCACGTCCGCACCACCGACATTTAGGGCCGTCACCACACCTTTCCGCGAGAAAACTGGGCACGTTCTACGTGAACTGTTAGGGGCAGCTGCTGGACGCCTACCAGTCGGCGGAGAAGGAGGCCCGTGCGGCCGTGCGGTGGCCTTCACGGCCTGGCAGGGGCACGCGTTGGTCTATAGCAGTGCGACGACGTGGAGCGGCTCAGCCCCGCTTCCGCTCGGAGTTCGTGCGCTGGCGATGCGCAGCCTCCGGCGAGGCTTACTGCGTGACCACGTGGTGCCGGTGAGCACCGTTTTCCGCGGGCAGATCCAGAAGGAGGACCGGGATCTGCTGGGGCGTGGACGTGGTGCGCTGCCGCAAGAACGGGCTGGCCAACGCCAGCTTCCATGTGGCGGTGTTCTGCCCACTGGATTCGGTGCAGGAGGCACGGGAGGGCCGCCTGGCTACGTCAAGCTGCCTGAGCCGGCTGCCCTACGTGGGCGAGGGCTGGTAGTACGCCAAGCCGGCGTGCGCTCGCGACGTGGGGGGACTTCTTGTGGAGCCTGGACGCCACGGCGCACGAGGACCCGAGCTGCCTGGCCTGGGCGCTGCGCAAGATGGAGGCGGCCTGGGGCGAGGAGGAGCACCTGGCCAAGCTGAGCGTCAACGCGCTCATCGGGCTGTGGGCGCGCAACGTGGACCTGGTCTACCTGATGTGCACCTCCAACAACCAGCTCGACGGCAACGGCTGCCAGTATCGCCAGACCTTCGTGGACGCGGCGGGGAACACTCACTGGGACCACCCGGCGGGATTTTGTGATGGCGGCGGAGTACTGCGTGGTGGCCCGGATCCGGCAGCTGCTGGCGGAGGTGCCCATGCGCTACCTGAAGTTCTTGAAGACCGACTGCCTGGACTTCCGAACGAGCGGGAGAACCGGCGCTTGGCCCCCGCGGATGCCGTGGTGATCGAGCACGCTCACCGGGCGCGCCCACGACCCGATGCGAGTCTGGCCCGGGCTGCGG